AACCAATGGGCATGAAATGGCACAAGTGAGATGAAAATTAGGCATTAGACATTCAACTCTCTCTGCAGCTCTGGGGAGTTGGTGTCCTGAGCAAGGCAAGCATGGATTGCCACATTTCATAGAATCATAGATTAATTTAGGTTGGAAAAGGCCCTTAAGATTACTAAGTCCCATTGTAATTTGAGTGGGAACATAGGAGCAAGAGCATCTTCTGCAAAATATGCCAACCACATCTTGATATTTCTATAGGTACAGATCTAAGGAAACCAGGGATCAGGTGTAAACTATAATGAAGCCTATCAGGTTGGGTCAGCTGCTTTTCTCTTGTTTCCCAAATATGCTATTCTTCTATGCTTTACATTTTTTCTTAGAAGACATAAAATGCACTTGTTTATCAGCTGGGAAACTATGAGATCATCTCACAGAGACAGAGCACTTAAGATCAGATCTGGGAGTACAGTAAATCCAAGGACTGGTGGGAGCCCTTAGTTTCAACCCTCTCCCCTGAATGAGGCTTTTCCCTCCATGCTGTGTTTGTAATTAGAGTGACAGCATTTCATTGCTATCTGGTTAGCTGCAGGGCTTTTCCTTTTACAAAGTCAGAGGTTAATTGCTGATATTGCATCTGTGTGTAATCGCTTCTTACAGGGTGTTTTGCACTGCATGATGTGGGAAGAAATACAAGCTTTTCCTTTCTCTGCTTGGGATACTGCTGTGTATCTCTAGCCATACCCCAGGCTGCTGCTACTCAGCTGCGACAGGAGTTTAACAACCTGCCCTGTTGCATCTCACAGGGGGTTTGCAGAGGTTATCATGTTCCTCACAATAGGTAGGGATGAGCTAAGGGATTATTTAATGCACCCTAGTGGCCCATGGTTTGAAGCACAAAGATATAAACTGATACTGGTTCAAGATCTCATCTGAAGCCTTTGACAAAACCTGGCCTCCTGAATGAAGGACACGTACTTCAACTGTAATTCTAATGCTCTGGAGCTAATGGCATACTTTACCAGCCCTTGAGATATTAGGAGCCTGTGCTTCTTGTGAAAAGCATCCTCTCCAAAGCTGAAAGAATGAAACTTCTTTTGCTGGAAGCTCTATGGAAGATGTTTTTACTCTCCCTACACAGCCTGCCTTGGTTATCTCCTCAAACCATGCAGCTGCAACAACAGAAACCTTGGCATGATGTCTAAAGGTCCAACCTGGGAAATAGCATCCTGCCCCATGGGAAAACCTGCCTCTAGCCTGTCCCTGTGCAAAGCAGGCATGTTCCCTGGTCTGTGCTATCCTGCAGAGCATGATTGAACATTGCCTGTGAGACCAGTAATACACCTGGAACAAAACCTTCATGGACTTGGCCTTGGCCCAGTTTCCAAACTTGTTTAATTGTGTACAGGTAGTTATTACAGCTGTGGGCTAAGAGCCTACCATCACAAATTCTCCACTGACTTGAAAACACACACCTTTATTTGTTCAGGGTTCACTTAGTTCTGTATTAAAAGGAACTGACCTGGGAGTTAGAAATGTACTTGGTGTTCAAATAGTAAAATTATTAAAAAATTACTCTAAAGGCTCTCCACAGTGTCAGTAGATCCAAATGACTGCAATGGGTAGGAACAGAGCAAGTGCTGTGGAGGACAACAGTGCACTGGAAGCAATGTAACCTACAGAACAGCATTCACACCATGGCATAGCCACAAGAGCAGTTTCTTTCCCACCTTAGTTATCTAGGGCTTGATCTATGGCCTAAATGGCACACAGGAGCTAAATATTTAGCTCAGCTGAGCCTTGGAATGTATCTGTATTTTGGCTGCAGTTTTTAATGAATGTCCAGGGCTTGCTTAGATTCCTGCAGTCTCCCAAAGACACAAAAGACCTATAAGTAAATTAGCAGAAGAAATCCACAAACCAGCATTGCTCACCTTTTCTTTTTTGACTTTGATTTTCCGTGGAACTGGAACGTATGTGCTGTTAAAAGGAAAGCAATACCAAGATAAATAAAAGCCCAGCTTATGAATATTTTCATGTAATTCCAAAGAAAGAATATTCTCTGTGTACACTAATAAATTAAAATTATTTGAAAGCAGTAAATTCAAGAAGTTGTTGTGAAATGAGGCTGCAATTAAGTAACACAGCATGAAAAGAACTGAGCTGTCACTGAACCAAGTTTATAGGAAACCACTGCGTTCTTAAATCTTCAAGTTAGTTATTGACAGTAGAACACCAAAGATACCAAAGATTTAGTTGAGAATATACTGTAGAACCAATACTACATGGAGCTCGAGACTTCTAATTCCTGGATCATGACTGTTGCAGTCTTTGCACTTTGATGATGGGAAGGACTTTCCAATTAATTTCATGGCAGAAAAGCCTTTTCCCAGCAGGGGGAGACTTCTACCCTCCTAATTCTTGGAGGTACCACTTGATTTTCATAGTCGTGGAAGCAGAGTTCATACTTTCTGTGGTTATGTGCAACTCGGGCACTCCCAGTACACAGTTCCCCTATTCCTCTCCTCCCTAGGGCGATGCTGAAGGTTTCCTGCAGTTCACGTCATAAAAATTCCAAGTCATACCTTATGACTGGGTTGAAATCATGAGTCATGTCTCAAAAACAAAAAACCCTTTTATTTCCTGTATCATGCACAGTGTGTGCTGGCATTGCATAGCTCATCACGAGTGCTGTAAGAAAAAATCTCCCTGAGTATGTGTCAAGTGAAAAAAAATTGGTGAACTGGCCTCACAATTGGGAGTATATCCCAAACTATACCCCACATACTTTCAGATGGGTTGTGGTAAATCACCAAAGCCTTCCATTAGTTCTGTCTCAATATTTTCACTTGGTTTTTGGTAATGACTAAGTTCCTGTCATTAAGGTTTTATTTACTTCGAACCACGGAACTTTGAAACCTTAGCCTAAATCTTCCCAGATCAGTGGCGACCTGGCAATGTTCTCATGTCTTTAGATACTTCTGGGCATCCCTGACCTGCAATCCCTGCTGTGGACTGGATGCAGTGAGAGGTGATGTGTGGTTCCAGCCCTCCTGACACAAGATCCTAATGAGGAAAGGGACACCCATTCAGACTTAATCTGCTCTCAGCAAATATTGCCCTTGCAGCTGCTTCTCATGCCTGACCTTGATTAGGAAATCAGTAGACATAGTCTTGGTGATCCCATGTCCTTCTGGCATTGTGAAGACAAAAAGGGTTTCTTTGCTGGTAAAACATCCTCAATGTTATGTAAATACACAGTCAGTCTTTTCTAAAAAGGTGATGTGGAGGAAGCAAGAGGACCATATTTCATGGACATCTAGGTAAGTACGGTAAAAGACCAAAGAGAAGGGTATGCAATGTTCGAGACAGTATTTGTGGACAGCTCTGATCCAACCAGGAGATTGCTGTAGCTCTTGTCAGATGATGTTATTCATTTTAATCACGGGCTACTTCATTCTTTCAGAAGAAATACCCAAGTCCTGCTGTCACTTGGCTGCAGAATTTTCTAAAACAGTGTGGAAAATATTGGCACACTGAGAACAAATGATTGTTGAAATACCCAAGTCCTGCTGTCACTTGGCTGCAGAATTTTCTAAAACAGTGTGGAAAATATTGGCACACTGAGAACAAATGGAGACCTATACTCTCATGATTGTGTAAAACATGGGCTGCAGGACAGCCAGGGAGTGAGTGACCCAGTAAGCACCACAATGTGTAAAAGTCTAACCAGCACAAGATGCTTATCTTTTTTAACTATGGGTGCACTTAGGTTTCTTGTTAGCCTAAACTCAGTTGACAGTATGCAGCCTGTGCCCAAGGCACAGTGGCCAAGCAGGTTGTGGTAAGGAGGTAAGTACTTCTCTTCTAAAAAACTGATTTTCAGATGTGCTTTGTTTTTATTTCATGCCTTCTCCCCTTTAAAAATGTACACTCAACAATTTCCTTATACACAGTATCTGACTTTGTGTGTTTAATATATGCTCATAGGTTAATTCTACTAGCCCAAAATTATGTTCATATGTTGCTATAATTTGTGTGCTTATGATTTTCTGCTTTTATTATTCCAGAATCTACCAGCTTATTAATAGTCCTTTGAGTATGGCAAAAATCTTAAAATGTTGATATTTCTTCTATGTGGTTAAATGGTCACACACTAATTTATACCAAAAGCTTACCAAGGCCATGTATACAATCTAATTATAAATATATAATATAGCCTGTAATTTATGAAGCAAAGATGTTTTCCCTTTCATGTGCTGTGACTGCACTGTAGTCAACCAGTTACATCTTCCTAATAAGGTCACTCCACTTGCAGTGCACACCTCAGAGTTCAGCAAGTGCCTAGAGCTTTTCCCTGGGGCAGGAACAGGCAGAACTGACTGGAAAAGATGTGGCCAGGTGAATTATAGAATCATTTAGATTGAAAAGATCTCTAAGATAATCAAGTCCAACCATTAACCCAGTACTGCCAAGTCCACCACCAAACTATGCCCTTAAGCACCATATCTGCACATCTTTTAAATCCCTCCAGGGATGGTGTCTCCACTGCACCCCTGGGCAGTCTGTTCCAATGCTTGACAGGTCTTTTGGTGAAGGAATGTTTCCTAATATCCAATCTAAACCTCCCTTTGTTCTGTCACTTGTTATCTTGGAGAAGAGACCAACCCCCACCTGGCTACAACCTCTTTTCAGGTAGTTGAAGAGAGCAATAAGGTTCCCCCTGAGCCTCCTCTTCTCCAGGCTGAACACCCCCAGCTCCCTCAGCCTCTCCTCATGGCACTTGTGCTCCAGAATCATCCCCAGCTCCATTGCCCTTCTCTGAACATATTCCAGCACCTCAATGTCTTTCTTGTAGCAAGTGGTCCAGTTTTCTAAGTGGGCTGATTTTTCCCAGGTACACGTGTGTCCTGAAGATGGATTTTTTTCAAAACAATTTACGACCACAGGTATTAAATGCTGGTGGTGAAAAAGGCAAAAGGAAACTAACCCAGATTTGTTACAAGTTAAGAGAATGTTAATAAGAAGTGAAAAGTATCTAAAATTCATCTGCAAAGAGAGAAAAGAATAAATAGAACATCTTTTCATCAAAAAGTTTTCCTTAAAATTGCAAAGCAGGTCTTATGCCCAGTCAACATGCCCTGGACATACTTTTCCAAGTTTTAAATCTTCTGAGACTTTGAAATTGGGAAAAAAGTTGAAATGCCTTGAAATACTTCTCTCTGGAATAAAATAATCTGATCTGTTCTTGCTGCCTATGTGTAGCAGGGTGCCATCAAGCAATCTCACAAGGCTGTGGTTTTACATCCAGCAGACAACCTCACACACAGTACAAATGTCATGTATTTCATTCTCTGGATTAGGAAAAGCCAGCTTACAGGGAGAGAATCTGCTAGCAGGCATCCAGAAGAAACATGCATTTTGATCACATTTCTAATTCTGGTGCTGCCATAAATGTATTAAGCAGGACAACCTTTACTTCTGACAGCACTCATAAAGAAGAACTGGAGAATAAATTCGAGTGTGGCACATTATTGTCAAGCACAACACTTGAATTTAAGGCTAAAACACACAGGTGACACACAAAACATTTTCTCAATCACATTCCACCAGGAAAGACAGACCAAACTCATGACCAGCCTGTCCACGAGAGGATGCTGTGGATGGAAGACTAAGTGCTGCAGTCTGCTTCTTCTCTCACTGCCTTGAGTAAGCAACCTGCACACCCCTCTCTGTCTCCTTGTCCTCTTCTGCAAGTGGAATATTATATGCTGGAGGATCACTTGGCCACTCAAGTGTCTTGGGTGGCATAATCCAGGTGTCTAAGACCATCACTAAATGAATAACCCAACAAACACCAGATTCTGCAGATGGCTTTCTGATGGGTACATCAGGGTGTGGGCAGGCTGGCTGCACTCACTATACTCCTAAGGGACCAGAGAGGAGGAATGATGAGCAGAAGCCCCAAATGAAGCCCTGAACTCCAAAGCCCAGGAGGCCTCTGCTCAAACTGCCTGCCTCCAGCAGCAAAACTCCACTTTTCATTTCTCTGAGACAACAGTGCCGGGATGTGAAGAAATGGATCTAGATCTTTGCCTCAACAACTGAACTATAACATTAAGCCTTTCCTAGAAAGCAAGTGTTCAAGGCTGAACTCTGACTTGAGAAGGTCTGTAAAGCTCCCACAGGCCTTACCAGAAGCAGGGACTTGTCCCACAAAGGCTATAATGTCCTACAGCAATATCAAGTACAGAACTCCCACCCCTTGTGCCTGCCCTTACTCACAAATTGATGGTGCCTGTGGTGAGTGCAGTGACAACCCAGCGCAGGTCCAGGGTTTTGAAGGGGATCAGGATCATGCTCACATTTTCTGCCAACTCTTTGTAGCTCTCAGGATAAACAAAGTGGTGAGTAGTCTTGCTCCCAACATCTGATTCGTAGCCAGTGGTGGGGGCACGGTTCATTCTGCAGCCCAGAAGTGAGAAGAGAGAGAGTGAAGAAGCAGGAGAGGAATTAGGTAGGTACAAACACACATAAATCTTCACCAAATCATTTGCTTGAGGTGCAGGAACAGGCTAAGGGGAGTGCTGTATGTACACTCTTCAGACAGCCTTGACAGGGTGTAGGGATCCTCAAGAAAACTGGAGTGATCATTGCCTGCGTGGATAAACAGTAAATGAAAGCTCAGCTTTAGTGTGGAATTGTTCAGACTGAATAAGAGTGTCTTCCAAACAGGTGTATCTCTGAGCATTCCCTTGACAGTCAGCAGAGAGCTGATCAAAACTGGTGAGTCTGTGAGGACACATCTCATTTCATCCTAAACCTGCATCCTCCTGCATTGCCCTGAAGTACATCAGCTTGATTTCTTGCAGTTTCATTCCCCCCCATCTGTACAGCTGTATTTGAATGACTAGGGTCAAGGTAATAAATGTTACGTGCGATAAGAAGCAGCAAATATTCTCCTATGAAAAGGCACCAATGGCACAGTGACAAATACAGGACCTGCTGCTGACCCTTCATTTACTCAAACCTTATTTTGTAGTACGTCCTCCAGCATCAAAGCATCTGTCACTCTGCACACATGTGGGATGCTTTAGGTAACCCTGGGGTCAGTGCTTAGACATCTGCCCAGGGCCACCAGAGCTCAGTCAAGAAATGTTGGCCAAACAGGGCTACCCTACCTTATGTTGTGTATATCAGGGAACAGAGAAGGGGTTTCTGACCTCAGGACTGCAGAAATGTCTCTATGCTTGTATTCACTTCTGAAAGCAAATCTGGGAATAAATCAGCAATTCTTTCCCTGATGCTTTAGCTCCTTGATGGCAGAGATTTGCATGTTTCTGTGGTGCAGCGTTGTGCAGATTACAGACCACCAGAGTGACTTGCATGGTGCTGTGCAACACCATGGAGAAACCCCACAGATGTCTCTGAGCAGAACGTTTTTTTTTCTGCAGTGACATTAGCTCAGCACCTGGCGGAAACACAGGGAGGACAAGGAAGGATGTAGCTGATAAGGTGATGAGGAGCATCGTACATTGCCAGACAACAGGCTGCCCTGGTTGCTAGTAATGGGGGAGGCAAAATCTGTTTATCAGGTCTATGCCAGGCTGTGTTATTACAGTGCTCCCCCAGGTGAATTATTTAAGTTTCTTCTAACTCCCTTCAAGGGAGTTGTTAGTGTAGGCAGAATAGCCTGCCAGCCTGCATGGATTTGTTATTGAGTTCCCTGTTATTGGTTTCCCTGCCAGCGACCCATATCATACTGCATAGAAATACAAGCAAAGCATGAGATTTTCTGTGTTTTATCTTGAGATTACTCAGTTGAAGGCAAAAAATATGGGGATTTCTTTCCATCAAGACAAAGACAAAGGTGACATCTTTGTTATCTTACAAGCTGCCCTCGGGTCTATACATGCTTCATACCATCCATGGTGAGGCTCCCTGTGCCACATGTCAGAAGAGAGCGCTCACAACCAGTCCAGCAGGAAGGACTGAGCAGGAATTTGCTTCTGTCATGAAAGTAGATAGTTATACAGATAAAAGTGGGCTGGAACACACTGTTTAGAAGGAACTCCCTGGTTCCTCCCTGCACTTGGCTGCATTGCCAGATCACATGGAAGTGAGTATCAGGTCATCAAAGATTTCGTTTGACGCACAGAGAGGTCACCTTCTCTGCACAAATTCCTACAGTGAATCCTAAAACCTTGTGCAATCATTTCAGATCTGGCTTAAGAATTCTGTAATATAAATCTGAGACTGAAAGGTTCAATTCCATGCCACAGAAACACCTGAATGTGTTACTCTTTAGTTACAATGACTAGTTTTTGAGTCTAGCAAAGCCTTTACAGCATGAGTCTGGAAACATAGGCCAGGCAAGATGAGAAATTCCACACAGGAATGGGGCTATCTCCATAGGGAGGGACACGGAGATAAGCATAAATGCAACACAGCTGCCCTACATCTCAACCTGTAGGGCTAATGTTGAGGGCTCTCCCTTTCCCTTTGTGGACCTGAAGACCAGGTTGGCTGCCTCTGCCTTTGGGGAGGTACTTTTGGCAGGGAGCAAGACAGAAAACTGAAGGAAGCAACTCTTGAAGTGATTTGTTGTGAACATTTAGATGTCATCTGAAGACTCCATGGCGTGTCCAAGCCACATCGGAAGCCAAGGTGGCTTAACAGTTCAAATACTGTTGATCTTCTGTTGATTTACTCTTGAATTCAGTGCATAGCTTCCTACTAAAGGCTTTGTTGGTTCTGAGAGTATAATCCCACATGTAGCATGTTCAATAGCAACCCCTCCCTTCCTGCCCTTTATTTCCCCCCAAACTGTACTGTACTGGCAGCTGTGGTGTGAAAGCTGGGCAACACGTTGGAGATTAATTTAGTCATTCCAGATACCTTGGCTGCCCTCTGGGTGATTAGCTCTGCTTACCTAATTCCTGCTTACATTTCAGTGGGACAAAATAGTCAACTTTCACTGCCTCGAAAGGGAGAGATGCTGTGTTCCTTTACAAAGTACCTGCAGACAAACAGTTGTGTGTTGTCCACTGAAAAGTGACTTTGGCTTCCCAACCCCACCATTGCTTAAGAATGAACCAGTGCAAAAAAGTCAAATCTGATACAGTCAATTAAATATCTAAAAAGATCACTTCAGTGGGACAAAATAGTCAACTTTCACTGCCTCGAAAGGGAGAGATGCTGTGTTCCTTTACAAAGTACCTGCAGACAAACAGTTGTGTGTTGTCCACTGAAAAGTGACTTTGGCTTCCCAACCCCACCATTGCTTAAGAATGAACCAGTGCAAAAAAGTCAAATCTGATACAGTCAATTAAATATCTAAAAAGATCACTTAAGTATTAATACAGTCAATTAAATATCTAAAAAGATTAGCTAAGTATTAGCTGCAAAAATTAATTTTACTCAAAATTGCCATTTTTTCATCTGTGTTTTTTAATACAGGCAAATATGAATTGTGCAGAACAAGCTACAGTATCAACACCTATTCATGGGTTTTTTCCAAGTTAAACCATGAGGTCATATCACCAACACACATGGTTTACATCCCTGGAACTTAGCTTTGACTTAAATACCAGATTCTATTAGATAGCCCCTGAAATCTTGTTTGCCCACTTGTCCTCCTATATACCAGTGAATTTTGGACAACAAAAAGCATCTGGAGTTGGGTTTTACTCACCTGAGCACGAAGTCATGGGAGTCAATATCTTGGCCATACTGAGACTGTCGAAGGTTCCCAGAGTTGCCCACGACGGCGCATCGTCTGCATGTGTAAGTGCCTCTGTCCTGCAGTGGATCCCCATCCCCAGGAATGACACTGAACAGTTCTGTGAGAGTGGCATTCAAATTCTTCGGAGCTTTCTCTCTTTGCAATTTCTGTTAGGGAGAAAAATCACCCCAGGTTGCCAATATAGACAGCTTTCACGTGAGCAAGATGCAGTTTCAAGGGTCTCCTCAAAGACCATTCTTGCATCTACCTGCAGATCCTGCCTTCTGCAGTGGGCTTTGGGTTGAGAGCCAAAATGTGAAAAAAATAAAGCGGAAAACCCCTTCCCATGGGCTTTTTTAACTTGGTTCCCCTTTTCTTCTCCATCTCCCCAGATTCCCACACTCCTCAGTTTCTGTCTCTTTCTATTAATTCTCCCCAAGACTGGCCTTAGCAGAATAAATGTTCCTCTGGTGTCTATATATATATATAAGTCTAAACCCACCTAGGGCCAGATATCTTCTGTTAGGACATGTATAAGATTTCTTTTAACCCTCCTAAAAGGACAGATGAGTCTCAGGGAATCTGACAGAGCACAGAAGTGGCTGATATCCCTTCCACAAATTTTGGCATATGCCAGAAGTGGGAGTGGGAGATAGGAGGTGGACTGTGGAGGAACCAGCCACTAGCGCAATAGGAAACTATGGTAGAGTTAGCCCTGAGGGCTGGAGATGTAAAATCATCTAAAAAATTCTCCAGGATGAAGAAAACCACCCGGACCTTGGTCATTGTGTCTGTTGCCATGGAGGGAAACAGTTTTGTAGCAGCTCTGTGGTGCATGGTGGAAACAATGGCTGCATTGGGAAGGTCCAGGCAAGGTGCAGGGCAGGTGATGGTCAGACACTCCCTTTCTGGGGCTCAGGTCTCTGAGGTCTACTAAAGAAGCTGGGACCCCTGGCAGGCTCACAAACAGCATTGCCCACCCTCATGGGTGCCACTTGCTTACCAGCTCACAAACGGAGAATGGCTGAAGCAAAAAATGCACTCAAAAAGTCTCTGCCTCACTCTGCCAGCTCAGCACAAGGAGAGACAGGGAGGGAGGGAAGAGAAACACCTTTCCCACGACTCCTAGGAACAGCCTAGGGTAATTTGGCTTTAGTTTCCAATGTGTTTCTCTTGACTGCACCAGAAACTGTTAATTTGCTCTGCTTTCTCTCTCTCTCACACAAAAACATGAACAGATGTAGCAGTGCAATTCTTGTTTAAATTTCATGCTGTCTCTTTGCAGAACCTTTTTTGCACTGAATTGACCAACAGGTGTGTGGAGCTCAGAACTACAAGACACATTGAGGCAAGGAATTTGAAACAGAGAAGATGAAGAAAGGTAGCATACATGGACTTAACCTTCCTACTGATAATTCCTAGTCTTTATACTTGTATAGAGACTGGACAAGGTGATTAGGATTCAAGGTAATTAGGATGCCTTAGGATGCCCAGACAAGCACTGTCATTGTGACCACGTATGTCACTACTCATGGATGGCTCAATTACTTAAGTGAAAAAGGATGTCTTCTTCTAAATTTGTGTGTGATGCTACAAACATATGGCTACATATCTTGCATATTCTTATGAATCCAATCTAACCTGGTCTTACTCTGAATGTGTGAAAAACAATGTTACAAAGTCTGCAGCCTTCAAAATAATTGGAGACTGCATAGATGTCATAGAGTGTAGTAGCAGGTGTATCATTTAGTAAAATCCAACTTTTTTAAAAAAAGGAACTTGTGATGAATGCACGTGTATACACCCATGTAACTTGCATATTCTTATGAATCCAATCTAACCTGGTCTTACTCTGAATGTGTGAAAAACAATGTTACAAAGTCTGCAGCCTTCAAAATAATTGGAGACTGCATAGATGTCATAGAGTGTAGTAGCAGGTGTATCATTTAGTAAAATCCAACTTTTTTAAAAAAAGGAACTTGTGATGAATGCACGTGTATACACCCATGTAAAACTCTGTATAAAAAAAGGAACTTGTGATGAATGCACATGTGTGTACACCCATGTATAATCTCTCTCTGTACAGGTGAGCTGACCCTAACTCCCTTTAAGACACGAAGGGGAAACCACCAAACGTGCACCAAAACATTTGTAAGAACAACAAAAAAAAAGCCTGCAGAAAAAAACCTCCCAAACTCCCAACACTCCCCGCTCCAATCTTATTCCTGAAATGATTTCACCTGAGAAAATTCGGATGAGTGAGGTAATTTTTAGAAAATCCTAAGTACCTGAGCTACCTTTTTAGGTGGCCTTTTCATTCATAATGATGGCATCAGGAAAGGAAAGAACCTGGATTATGGACACATGTTTTTATACATTAAAATGGTAAGAAGCATTATCCTGGATAGGCAGCTCCATTGTCACAGAACAGGCTTTTCGGTAGTGCTGCTGTCAGTCTAGTGTAACTCTATTGCAACCAAGTTAAAACATGGGCACCAAGACCAGCTTGAAAGCAGGATACCATAATCCTATAATCCCTCTGTTATACACAATTTCCTCAGATTATTACTAGTGCTAGACTATTACTAATAGAGTATTACTAATGAGACTATTACTAATGCTAGAAATTCCCTCAATGACCTCAAATAGATTGATGACCTTAATGCACTATCCCCCGTACAATAAGACTTCTGTCCTTAACTAATTTGAAGTGTTCTGCTTTAAGTTCTTCTGTCCTTAACTAATTTGAAGTGTTCTAAGTTCCTCAGTGATTATCTGATTGAACTATGCTTTTCAGACCTAATCTTCAATCAATACTGGTTAGACTTGGAAGTTTCAGCAAAACAGAGAAGGGTAGGCAACAAAGCTAGTTAACTCCAAGGCAGATATAACTTGTGAAAGTTCTGACCTAACACACAGTCACTTCCTTATTGCACAATGTTTGCTTGGCTTATTGAAAAACACCATTTTAATAGCATTACAATTACAAGCTGATTATAGCTCACTTTCCCACACAAGATTTTTGTCCTTTCTTTTTGAGTAATGTTGTATTTTCTTTTCTTTTAACAAGCTCCCACCACTCTGACCTTTCCCATACATCAGCAAAGCACTAGGTGAATGTCCATGCTGTCAAGGCAGAGCCATGGCAGTGCCATGTGGCTTTCCTGGGCCAGCCTTCCCCCTCCAAGTGCCATAGATGTCTGACACAGATATGTGTATGGATATAGCTGCCAGATGTGGGCTTAAATACATTGAAATACCTGACCCCTGTGTCCTGAGTGAAGTGGCTGCTTTTCTCAGAAGTCTGTGCAAGCAACACCTGTGTCCAAAGGTGCAGTTTAACCTCTTGTCCAAGATCATAAAGCATCTTAACCCACCTTATGTCCACCTACTAAATATTACTGGATCACTTAACATCCAGTTTCCCTCCATAAAATATTTGTTTGGCACTCAAGAGTCAACTATTCAACTTAGGTTGCTAAAAACTGTAATTGGGAGTTCAGATTAAGATGTTTCTTAGTCATCTTCACAGGGAAGATAAAATACTCTGTGCTCCCAGACTTAGAAACTCCCAATTTCACGTACAGAAATTTACTATTCTGCATTTTCTTGTTTTTAAAAAGCAAGCAAAAAAAAAAGGCAAGAAAAAAGAACCCTCAAAGTTTATGCACTTCTTTCCTTACCCATGAATGGCTTTCCAAGGGAAAGCTTATTGTTCCTTCTCTCATCACTGTGTACACACCTCCATTAAGAATGACAAGGGATTTGCTGCTTTTGAGGAAGGCTTCATTGGACTCTCCAGTACCATCACACTGACAGCAATTGCCAAGAAGCAATAACCAAAACTTGGCTAAGGGGATGCAAAGGGAGAGTGTGAATTCAGTCACGGCTGCTCAGAGCTAATAGCTTGGAGTGGTGATGACACAGCTCCAGTCACAGAATCGTAGAATCATAGAGTGGCTTGGGTTGGAAGGGACCTTAAAGATCATCTAGTTCCAACTCCCTTGCCATGGCCAGGGACACCTCTCACTAGATCAGGTTGCTCAGCGCCCCATCCAACCTGGCCTTGAACATTTTCAGTCATGGGGCTTTCACTTCTCTGGGTAACCTGTGCCAGTGCCTCACCACCTCAAAGAAAAGAATTTCTTCCTAATAACTAATCGTAAACCTACCTTCTTCCAGGTTAAAGCCATTCCTCCTTGTCCTGTCTTAAATGTCCTTTTGAAAAGTCCCTCTCCAGCTCTCTTGTAGGCCTCTTTAGGGCTGCAATAAACTCCCTCTGGAGCTTTCTGTGTTCCAGCTCTCTGAGGATCCTCCTGGCCACCTCTGGACCTGCTTCAAAAGTTCCATATCCTTCTTATGCTGGGGCATCAAAGGAGTCAGAACCTCAAAAGAAAGCTCTCCTGGTGCCTGTGCACCCTGCACCCATGGGCAAGTTTGGCAGTGTATTAAATACAACTTCAAAATCCCAAATTATTAGCAGGTAGCATAGACTAGTCTGTAATCATTGGTGTGATGTGGATGCAGATGGAGTGTGGATCAAGGCAGAACCCTTGTGGTGGACAGGCAGGTACAGCTGTGGGTCTGGCAGCAGCCAGCACTGATGAGGTAGATCTGCCAGCACACAGCCAGGCAGCCAGGGGAAGCTGGTATAGCAATAATATGTTTTGTGGTTTTCCCAATTTTTTTAACCTGTTTTTAAAAGATAAAGAAGGAATAAAGCCCCATGAGAATCTCTTTTGCACAGCTACTAATTGGCTAACTGCAGCACTTTGGAAGCATCAATGCTCATGCAATGCTTCCAAACTATAAGACAATTTACAAAGATTAATCCTAGCAACAGTCTGGTGGGCCAAACCCAGGCAATCTCCATTTTGCAGACTGAAGGAGAAGTTATGAAGAAACCATCAATTTTAAAAATGCCTCCTTGGTCTGGAAAATATGGCATTATTATTTTTATATTTAATGGCCTGCAATTACTATGCATCAAATAGTTGAAGGGGAAGAAAATAAGGGCTTTCAAGAGTTTGAGCTTTGTTTAATGATTTGTGTCATCAAAAAATTTACATTCTCCAACGTGAATGTCACGTGCATGTATTATGTAAATAACACACATTAATATGCATATGCCAAATTTTATGATTTCAGACTTCCATGGCTGGTCCAGGTCACCTTCATGCTACTCTAAGGCAACAAGACCATGTCTCTGCCAGCTGTGTGTGGCCTTGTTTCTGACTGCAAGATGCTTGTTGCTCGGGAGAGAGCATTGCAGTGCTTAGAGGAGCCCATGAGCTTGGATCACCTTCAGATCCATCTGTCCTCACCATAGGAGGAGCAGCTCCAGCCCAGCTGGATGTACACAGGGGTTGCCAGTGGGGGTAAGAGGTAGCCCAGGGTCAGGTTCTTCCACTTAGTCCAAAGTTGGTCTAAATGTCATGCTTGCAAACAAGCAGTGCAAGGGCAGGTGGGACTGGGCACGTGGCAGGCACTGGGACAAAAGTCTGGGCCCTGGCCTGGATTTGCTACCATCTTCTGCAGTTATCTGGTAGTTACACACTACCTTCAGTGCACTGAGCCCTCTATTGCTTTCAAAGTGTCACAGACAGTGTCCCAGTTTTAAAGAAAACTTCTATTGATCAAAGTATTTGGGCACATATTCTTCAAAGAGCATTCAAAATGCATGACTCGGGTGCCAAGTAGCTCTGCTGCTGTCTTAAAATCAAGTGCAGCCTCCACAACTTCCCTGTGCAGGTGTTGGGCATGTTCTTTTGTTCAACACCTGGTTAGCAAATTTTTAAGCCATGTATTACACATTTTCCTGCAAACGTAATGATTTAAAACCAATATTTTCTTTTAGATACGTTAATAACATGGCCCCAAGAGCTGAGCTTTGTTCCAAAAAAAAGAAAGCATAACCCTCAATATAATAAGACTCAAGATAAAAATGGCTATGACATGATAGTTTATGAACAATGTGCTACAGATAAGACTGCCAGGAAACTCTGAGCCTGAATTTACTTATCACAACTTTAATCCATCAACCTCAACAGGTTTATTTTGGATTTAGAACAGCAGGTTCTGATCTCATATTTTTAATACTTTCTGACCACCAAGAACAATGCATCCACCCCTGAGAACAAACCAGGAGAACTATAAATAAATGCTGTGCTGTGTAACAGCATGTAATTCTTGCCATGTTTCTTTACATATGGGTTACTTGATTTAGTGAGAACATCCACAGCATTTGTGTCATGGTAAAACAATGGAAAACTTGCAGGTGAAACAGTTCAGGGAGGTGGGAAAGAAAATATAAACAGAAAGGAATGTATCACATAACACAAGGTGTGACCTTCCAAACCACTGAGACTCTTACAGTCACTGAGCATAAGATGAGGGAAGGAAGAGAGGAATTGAGAGAGAGATAGTGAGAGAGAGGAGATGAGAGATGGGGAGAGAGGAAAGAAGGGAGGGACAGAGGGAGGGAGGAATTTCTAACAAACTGGTTATGGCCTGGAGTGTTATTAATGCCAAGATCCTCCCTGAGAGTGGAGGATTCCAATTCAACTTTAAGTCACAAAAAGCACAGAGCAGCTGCAGGAGTGTACCCAGGGGGAGAATTTTGGCCATTATTTGCTACCTGACTGAAGTACAAGGCAGTTTGTCAGCTGTGTAGAATTAAGCAAATGAAAAGCAAGCACCAGCGCTGACAACAGAGTCCCCTTGTTTTCACGAACACAAAAGCATCCAGGTACTTTTTCAAGGTGCCTTCCCCAGAACAGCCCTGTCCTTGTGCAGCAGGATAAGCCAGACACTGCAGGGATGGTGGCACTGACCTTCTCTTTCTTGCTGTTTCCCACCTGCAGAGGTGGTAGAACTAAATCCAGGGTGAACAATGCAATTTTTTTCAGAGCAGCCAGGCATATTTCCTTCCAAAAGGCCACATCCTACCAAGCTGAATGAGTTTAAACCATATATTCTCCAAATAAACCATGAAACAGCCTGGCAACCTGTGAAGAGCAGTAAGCAAGTGAAACTACCCCATTTTTTGGCCCCAAATATAACTTTGTCTCCAGTACTGGTCATTAGTATCTGAAATCAGTCCTTACTGTCCTAGTAGTGGAGGGATACTAACGTACATCCCATGGCAGGAAAGTCACAGCCTTTGTAATAAGTAGCTCAACTTCAGTCACCATCATATCAGTGTCCCAGTTATAGCTCAACAAAACCACCACCCTGTCTGAAAGCAGTTCCTGAGAGCAAACACACTGACATTTCTCTCCTGAAATGAAGCTTGAGCAATCTCATGTCTCCTCATGCAGCACCTTTATGTACAAATATAGTAAAAAGTAACAAATTATTGAGTTGGCAAAGTACACAAAACATGGCCATGAGCAATGTTTTCTTAAAGACTTGTTGAAATCTCAGAATCACTTTGAAGATGAGCCTAAAAATGAACAGCAAAAAGGGAGTGTTGTCAGGATGCACCTGGGAATTATTTACTGCAGAAATGGCACTGACTGTCTTGGAAAGGCTTACCCAAAGCAACATGTACATAGGAAATCAGTTGCAATGAGGAGTTGAGGGCACAACATGGCTGGATTTACCCAAAACCATCTTTCAGAGCAGCCAGGGCACCTTCTCCATTTACCATGGATCAGGGCTAAGATTTTCAGTAAGTAACTGACTTCCACTACACTGCAGTTTTGGTGGACACCAAAATACAACCTGGTTGAAGATAGAAAAAGGTTAGAAATCTTAAAAGATTTATTTTTACCATCTGAGGAAAAAAATGCTTTGATTTTGTGTTCTGAAGTGGCGTATTCCCTTTGAACTTGATCAGAATTAAAAAAAAAAAGAATGAAAACACTAAAAATAGGGTTAGACAGCCCTGAAAATTAATGAACAGCTTTTATTTGAGCAGAGGAGGGGAGACTTTTGGCTGTTCTGAAAGTCACTGTTTTTTTCAATGTTGCTGAAAAAGAAACAAACCTTCTCCTAAAGAGTCTATTTCAGGTTGAACTGATTTGAGATATTGCTGTTTGGTTGGTTTTTTTCTCAGTTTGACTACAAGATGGAGAATCAGAAGTTCAGATTCTTATACTAAGAGTCCCAAGTCTTTTCTTCTATTTTTAATTTTTTTAAAGAGAGAATGCACTCAAACCTCACATTTAAATCAGTGAGTTCTGAGTGCAGATTGCAGCATGGCTTTGCCTAGGGTGATGTGCAAGCCTGTGGTGTATATGAGCAACCTCACCCTCTCATCTACTGAGCTCAATTTGGGCTATAGTCCCTCCTCCAAAAACTGCTAGTTGCTAGATCAGCTCAGCTCTCTGGTGAAACCTGAAGGGACCTGAGCTTGCCATCTTTACTTCTCCTGGCTCCAGCTGTGTGTTCAAACAAAGGCACAGGGGACTATTTTTCATGAAGTAGAATAAGTGCAATGAAACTGTGATTTCACTGGGGTTGCTGCAGCCAGAACCTGTGCTTTAGCAGCTCAGCAGCACAGGCCATGAGGAAATCATTTAATCAGTCTTGTTCAAGAGAACATAAAAGGGGCTTTTATTAGGCAAAACATCAGGATGCAGCTTTTTCCCTTCTGTGCTTTTTGAACAAAGTATCTGCTAGCTTTCATGCTCAGGCTTGTTGGACCACTCTGTTCAAGGATACATAGGGGCTGCTCCTTCCTAGTGATCCACAGCCACTCGTGTGCTTTCCATACCTGTTTTACATTACTGACCACAATGGAGAATGTTCTCATACTCATGGAATTAATCATTTTTCATTTAATCCTGCTAATTATTTATATGTCTTATGGCAGGGTGAGTCCCAGGGGAAATGTACACTTCACAATGAGTTTGCTTTATTGTCTCAGTGGAAGTCACAAAGCCCATCTGAAGCAAAACCAGCCAGCTTATCAAGTCTGGTCTTTGAAAGGGAAGGGAGAAAAAGACAGTACTGACATTTTCAAATTCTGGATTTACCACCTAACCCTGCCAGGAACTTTTCTAGCTTGGAGCAAGTGAACATGCACTCCAAACCCCTCTGAGCTAAACAGCAGCACAAACATCCAGTTCCTTCTACCTCTGCCTGCTTTGTCAGCTGAGACAGCAAATGCTTTTGGCAGGAACCATCTCTTGCTATCTGCTCAGCATTGCTCAGAGCCTGACACTGTGACCACCACCCAAACTCCAGGCTGTATCCACACCTCCCACTTACCAGCCACCAGGTGTAGCTGTCTTCTGGGATAAAGGCATTTTGTGAGGTCAGGAAAGGTTGCATAGTTGAATTAAACCTCTGATCGAACCAGAGGGAATGTCCCAGCTCCGAAATGCATGTGCGACAGCTACAAGGTCTCCTTGGGTACTTGAAGAGTTTTTGAACTTGCTCTGAAAACTGCATGACAAGATGTCTGGGATGCCAGGTGGTTGTGGTCACCTGTTGTGTGTAGTTCAGCAGAAATGACGTTACCGTGATGAGCAGAAACACGAAGGTAAACATTTTCACGTTCTTCCTCCTTACGACGACCATCTTTCCCACTTGGGTTCTGCCACCACCGCTGACCAAGTACAATGTAGGGTCCAATGTAAGGAAGAAAGGAAAGGGTACAGCCAGTGGCTGCTGGTTACCACCCTCGGCTTAGGCTGAACAAACTGATTGCAGTACCTCCATCCATACAAGGAAGAAGCTCCATCTACTCCAAATGGGCTTAAAGAAAGGCAAAGCTGGGTATTTCCTTCCACCTTCTCACAGCACTTCCAAGTTCATTCCACCTCTCTGTGTCCTGCTGCTAACCTCTCCTGATGAGGGTTTAATGAAGACAGACCCTTGTCTTTCCATGAACCAGAACGTTTAGAGGAGAGCAATATCAGCATTAAAGCTCAGGTTTTGTGTGTGAGAGCAAGCCATACATTAAAACAAGCAAATTGCAAAGAGAAGAGGGTGGTTATTCTCTTTCTTAGAAGTTAGTTCATGAAGGATCAGACTGTCTGGGGATGTACATTCCAGCAGACACATGTTTGGATGTCCATTTAAGCCATGGAGAGTAGTTTGCAGCCTAGAGACACACAAACAAAATAGAAAGAAAAATTATTGTCAGAAGTTTCTTTGCATTCCTCCCAACCTAATTTCTCTGCTATTCTCTATCTATCCCAAAACTTCTAATCAGCTCAGAGCCCTCAACACAGCAGCACCAGCTCCAAGCTCTGCTGTGGTATTTGCATGCTGAGAAGTTTCAGGGTGAAATTTCAGGAAGGGCAGAGCATCGACCCGTAGACATTGAGTCTCTTTATATTGAATTAACTTCCTTGCTCTGCTCTGGCCTTATTTGAATTAAAGTTTGCAGGTATTTGAATGGCAGTGACTCACCTCCTTCCCTCAGGCTGACCATGATAGCTGCAAAATATGCAGCAAAGTATTCATAACCCAGAGCAGATGAACAAAAAAACACCCAGCAAAGGAGGGAGGAGCAGGAGAGGGAGGAAGTGGAATCAATTCCATTCTCTTCTGTACCCCAGCTGGCTTAGTTTCTTCAGGATCAGGGCTGGACTCTTGATTCAGAGATAGCCAAGAAAGAATAGCTCACAGGTCCTGGGACAGACGTGGGAAATCAAAGTATAAATGGCCTTTGTTTCACGTGGCTTATTGCTATTTTTCCTGCCAAGAAAGCATAGGTGAGGGCAGCTTGTGATCTCAGGGAGTTCCTATGAGACCCCAAGGTAGGCAGAGAGGCAGGGAACTGCTTTGGGAATACAGAGGGGCCCAGAGCTGCTCTCCCTTCCCCTTCCCGTGTCCCCTGCCTGGCAGCAGTGATTTAAACAAGTTTTTCAAAGTCAAAAAATTAATCCTTTCCTCCCATGGCACCATTGTTTTGTGGGAAGGAAAACATGTTGTTTTGAAAAGTTCGGATTGTTTGCAAAAAGTCCCCAAAGTGCCATTGATTAAATAACACTCTTTTGTTCAACAAAAAGAAAAAAAAATCAGAGACACAAATGTGTTAGAAAATGTGCAATTTATGAACAACTGAAAGCCCAACAAGAGAAGTCTCATTCACGGCTCACCTGCAGGCTTCAGGCCAGCAAAGAAAGAGGAAAACTGCAGTTGTTACCATTAAACCCCATCATTTTAACCCATTCTGTACACCACAGTGATGTGGATCCCCCTCATTGCATCACCCAAATGTGATGCTTATCCAGACACAGGGGAAGTGGAGCTGGTAGCTGTAGCATCCCCAGTTTTGCTGCTGCTCTTCTCCTGGGATATGTGAGGAGCTGCCCAAAGACAAACTGCTTTTCCAAGGGGCTTGATGCAGTGTCTTGGAGACAGCCCAGGCCTGGATTTTAAAGGTGGCATGTAAATATTTACTGAGTCCAGTAAAGCCAAATCCTAAGACAGGAGACTCAGACCACGGTCTTAAGCCTTTGCTCCAGGTTTCTCCTCCTCAGCACGTGACTGGCAGCGTGTGCCCTTCAATTGGCCACTGTTTGCCAAATGCCTCGAGATTTATTTTAAGTCTGACCCCTCCAAATGCATTACAGGAGCTCAAGGGCTGACAAGTGGGTCAGGCTGGATAACAAAAGGTTTTATTAACCTCGGCTGCTGGGGGGCCTGCACCAGTAAATCACACAGCATCAGGGAACCATCCTGTGCTCAACTTTCACATTTTAGAAGGAAGTTTTGGGGCTGACCAGAAATCTTCCAAATTATTCCCAGGTAAAATTCAGGAATCCAACTTAAGAGGTGATGGGAATGCTGTCCCTGTGCCTTGGAGAGTTAGAAAGGGAGCTTAGAAGAACAGCCCCATCTGAGCCAGTTGGCCTCTGCACCACAGAGTGGCCCCAAACACATTTGCTTTAATAGCCTGGACGTAGTTGTTAGTCTAAACAAAAACACAGCCTCTAAACTCCCCCAAAGCATTCCAAATCCCAGAAGCCAATTGATTCTCCATTTCTGGAGTGGATAATTCAAGAGCTGCCATGCCGGCGGGTCAAACCCCCACTGCTGTCAATGCTGGGCCAAGTCAGGATTTGTAAACACAGTTCCTGCTCTTCTATTATATTTCTAAGAGGAGAAGGGAGGGGGATTTTCCAGCCTTTCTGAGAAAAGCCTATAAAATGGAGTATTGTTCATAAAAGAAACAGTTCCGGCCTCTAAAACAAACACCCATTTACCAGAGTTATTTATTTATTTATTTATCGCAATGGAGCTAAGCTTGAACTTAGATTTAGAATTTGGAAATAAAATGACTAACATACCCAAACCAGTGTTTACACAGTGGACTGCAATGTTTCCAAACTTCTAATCATCCTGTCTTTTATAGCGTGTGATGAGAAGGTGAGAACTCCCAAGGCTCATTTCCAGTGTGGAAATAAACACCGGATACTCTAATTTTAATTCTCACTACTTATAGTTTCCTATGAATGTTCATATTTCCTATGGATATGTGTATATATATAAATATATCTCTATATATCTTGACAGAAAGCCTCCAGGGACTATATATGTGATTTAGGGCCTGAGGAAAAGGAAGACTGAAATGAATGGAAAAAGCTTTCATCAAGTTCACCATGACCTGGACCAGGACCCTTTTTTCCCCTTCTTATAACATACCTAACATCCAACCCAGACATCACCATTTTACTCTTCACAGTACATTGAACCACATCTCAGACTGTCCCTGCATCTGCCCCTGCTCACAAATATTCGTAAATCTCTGCAAAAGGGTTTCCATAGGATTCACCAAGTGCTGGTAAGTGGGAAGGGCAGGGACTGGTGTGGGAAGCTGCACAGGGCTGTCAACCCCAACTATTGGGAATGTTTTATCCCTGCATACTACTTGTGATAGTTAAATTAAGACCTTACAAGTGAGCAGCATGATACCAGCCACAGTCCTTATCAACATACCTCAGCATGACCTTGGCATTAGCACATCCCTGACCAGGCTATTTTGGCCTCAGACCCAGAAACCATTTCTGGGGACTCCAGGTATGGAGATTCAGTGCCCAGCCCTCTCCCAGCTATAGTCCCCTGAGAGATAAACAGAGCTTAATACTGCATGCCTGAGGCTGTGCCTGTGGGCAGAGATCCCAGCTCAGCTCATGCAAGCAGCAGGTTAAGCTACCTTAAGTGATTGGGTGCTTAAGGTCTTATTTCTGGTCTGGATTTTCCCTGCTACCTTCCCAATCCTCTCCCTTCCAACGCAAAGAGTTGTCTGCACGTAAGACACCAGTGTGCACCCTGGGATAGCTTATTTATGCTGACAACACCCAGTGATGTGCAACACAGGAAAAATGTGAAAGGATGTGTCCCAGACAAGAGCAGAGAGGCAGGTTCAGAAGGGGCAGGTTCCTCCAGGCTCTGTCCTGAGAGCAGAAGTGGGTCCAGTGTGATTAAATGGTCATAAAGGAGAGCAGAGCATAATCTTTTGTCTACATTTTATGTTGTAAAATATTCACATCAATCGAACACTCCTGTGTCTTATCGGACTGGGATACTGGTCCCTTGCCAATGCGGCAATGAACAGACAAGGATAAAAACACATCGGTTCAATGGACTAATATAAACCAATTCTTAACACCTTCAGGAAATATTCTTTTGACAAATCCACCTACAAACACAATGTATTCTCACTGCACTTGTCAAGCTCTGTGACAAACACACCCACAAAGGCACACAAAGAGAAGAGAGCAGGAGGGGGAGACTAAATTATGTCCTGCTCCAGCTGCTCCCAGGCCCATCCCAGGAGCCATCAGCCCATCGAAGTCTGCACCAGCCCCGAGGAGTCCATGGGTGTGAAGGCAGGTGGGAACCTGAAACAAGGATTTAGAAGAAGAGACACCCTGACAGGGTTCCTCCCAGGGTTGGCCCCAGCCTCAGTCCCAGGCGTGAAACGCATCCAGATGAGTCAAGGCTACCTTTGGGACTGAGACACATTGCTGCCTGGGGGCATGGGACACCTTATGTGGTGCATTTGGGTATTACTCAAGATCTGTGTGGTCAGCCACACAATATTAGCAGAATGCTTAATTTCTTGATGTCTTTTAAAAGATGGGCCTTAAACAAAAAGCATGTAGAATGTAATAATGACAAAACATGGAGAAAAAAAAAATCACTGTACTACTACTCATCCCCCCAACTTGAAAATGCCCCAGTACACTGGAGTTTGACCCCTTTTTGATGCATATTTTCCTAGCACAGAAGTACTTTGTACCAGCACCACATTGAGGACATCTTTGTTAGCTCGTGTTAGATGCTGATGGTTCAGGATCCAGCTTTTCTGGTTCATAACTCACATTAAAACCCTGGTGTGAAACACTCTCTAGTTTAAAGTTGCCAGCATTTTCCAGACACAGCATGTCAGGCAGAACAGCACAAAGGCAACAGGGAACAACATCCCTGTACAGAGATACTGCCAGCATTCCATTCACGGCTTGAACAGTTCAAAGGTCCCAAAGTCCTTTAGACTTAAAACTCACATATCCACCTGCCCTGTCAGAATCTGGGAAAGGACAGCATGACATACTACAGCTCTCTCA